TGCCCCTCAGGAGAATGAGCGTGTTGTTGATATGGCGTAAGTAAATAATTTTGTGTAAAAAATATTTTCTTCAATTGTCTGTCATTGAACTTTTTACTATTCAGTTAGTTTTGAACTGAGACCTTTTATGATTTATTATGTTTTGATCCTTTTTTGTGTATCAGTAAGAATTATCAAGTTTGATTGCTGAAAGAGTTGTCCGGTGCATATTTGGATAGTGTAGGAAAAAGCTTATTGAAGAAATAAAGCATCTTCTTTTCCTCTTTCACTTGTAATTTCTCCTTCTTCTTTGTTTGATAACCGTGGTGTCGGGGCCAGCTTGCACGCACCTCTATTAATTCCACGGGGTACCTGCTACCTCCCTCCAGCACATGTACCGGGTAACTCTATTCACTAAGGCTTGGACAGATGGGAAGAAATCACCTTATGTTTTTCCCTCGCTAGGATTTGAACCAGAGACCTCATGGTTCTCAACCCACTTCGTTGACCACTAAGCTACAACCTTTGTTAAATCAGCAACTTTGTCTTGGATATCGTTTTGTCCGTTTTAGGTTCAAGTTGTGCATTTTTGATATCTTTTCTTTTGAGAGAGCAGGTAAAACAGTTTCTGCAAACTTTTAATTGTTAGTTCACTCTTTTCGTCTTCTTGAGCCGAGGGTCTTTCGGAAACAACCTCTCTACTCCCTCGGGGCGGGGTGAGGGAGTAGAGTAGGGGTAAGGTCTGCGTACACACTACCCTCCCCAGACCCCACTAGTGGGATTTTACTGGGTCGTTGTTGTTTTAATTGTTAGTTCAGTAAGCAGAAAGTGGTATTCTTTTGTTAACTTTTGTGCTTCTAAAGTGGGCAATTTTTACATGGTGCAGTGCTGCTCCTGGAGGCAAAACAACTTATGTTGCTGCGCTGATGAAAAATAGTGGTATGTATTCATTTGCAGTTAATCGTGTTGTATTCTTGTGCAGAAGTCCATTTACTCCATAATGCATCAATAGTTTATGGATACCGATGGGTGAATGAATTTTAAATACATTTTGCTGCCCATGTGTCAATATTCATTTTCTCCATTTCCTTAATTCAAAAACTCATTGTTTTCAATTTCTTGTTCTTCTAATTTCTAATGCAGCGAACCAACATTTACTAGATGCTTTTGTTCTGTTTTACGATGCGCTCATGTACATCATTCATAGTCAAAGTAGTTTATGTTAACCTGAGTTGCCAATCTGTTTGCTTGCTCTAGTGAATTTCTTCAGATTTTTGTTGGTTTCTCAAAAATAGATTATATTGAATGAATATCTTTTCCTGATGTGCATTATATACTTCCTGTTGTTTGTCATAAGCTTTTGTGATATAACAATGTTTGCCATGATATATTATTTTTTAACTTCTCTCTTTACCCTGGTTCTGCTTTTGGAGTTATTTGCAAGTATAACCCTATGTTCTAAATTATTGATTAATAGCGTTTGCCATTTCAGTTGGTCTGCACGACACTGACATATTTCACCTTGGAAACTAGGTATTATTTATGCAAATGAGATGAAGGAGTCAAGGCTTAAATCGCTCACTGCTAATTTACATCGTATGGGGGTAACAAACACCATTGTGTGTAACTATGATGGAAGAGAGGTTAGAATTGGACTATTTTGCAATCTTTCCTTTGGAACTTACTGCACTTCTATTTTTATATGCCTTTATATTTCTTATTGGACAGTGTTGTTCAACCTTGCCCATTACGAGCACTCATTTGAAGTAGCTCTACACTAATTTCATGGAGCAACATCCACTGATCTAACAAAGATTTGTTGTCTTTGTGTCCATCTGTTTCTTGGTTTACATAGTGATGACAAAGTCCTGTGATCTAATACTAAAACCTTGTCTGGGAATCATTTCAGCTGCCTAAAGTTTTGGGTCAGAATACTGCTGATAGGATTTTGCTGGATGCTCCCTGCAGTGGCACTGGGGTATGTGGGTAATGTTTTGATGTTAATGCTTGTCTGCAATCATATTTAATCTTATGAATTTCATGTGTTTTGCAGGTAATCTCCAAGGATGAGTCTGTTAAAACTTCCAAAAATGCTGCTGATATACAAAATTGCTCACAGCTGCAGAAGGTATAAATGATTTTGACGTGTAAATTTGGTGATATTGTGTTATTCATATTTGTAAACTTTCAATCATTTTGCGCTGTAGAAGGATATCATGATAATTTCCATGAACTGGTTGTATACTCGAGAGCTTGTCATGCTTCATAAGAGAACCTGTATAAAGTATATTCCTGCTTGGTATTTGCACAACTGGGGATTTTTCCAATTTGTAGTTATGTTTTTGTTCCACTGGCTTAGTGCGCAAGCATTTATAAAATCTTTGATCACTCATTAAAAAATAAAGTATACTGCCAGCTTGATAAAAAAAAAAAATTAAATTAAGTATATTGCCAGCATCTGACTTCTCGGGCTGTTAGAAAATACTGGTTCTGAAAATCTGTAGTTTTGGAGAGAGACTAAGTTGCAAGAAGACTTGAACATTTTTTCTTCTTTGTTTCTAATGATTGATTTCATTGATCTTATTTGTTGCAATATAGGGGACAGATATTGCAATTCTAGTTGCCTTGTTTGCCTTTTTTTTGGGTGTTATTATCTGTACCCTCCCAAAGCAGGAGAGTGTTGGAGGGTTCATCTTGTTAATTTTGCTCCATAATGTGTTGTTTATCTTATATTCCCCCGTTTCACATATTGTTTTGCCTACTTGCTTATGAGAAACCTTTTTCATCTGTCAACATTTGCAGGAACTGATACTTGCAGCAATTGACATGGTTGATGCCAACTCAAAATCAGGTGGATACATAGTGTATTCTACCTGCTCCATTATGGTTGACGAGGTATTTTTTTAAACATATATCTAAATAAATCTTCAAAAAAAGGGTACCTTTCTTCTAAGTGATTGTATGCTTGTCAATTTCTACTTACTTTGGTTAACTCGATTATTGCAGAATGAAGCAGTTATAGACTATGCACTTAAGAAGAGAGATGTTAAACTTGTGCCATGTGGACTTGATTTTGGGAGGCCTGGGTATAATAGCTTGTGTTGTTTATGTGCATTTACTTAGAAGGTTGTTTAATTCTACAACTAATTAAAGCTGCTTTTGAGTCCCAGATTTATTCGCTTTAGGCAGCACCGTTTCCACACATCTTTGGACAAGACTAGGCGATTCTATCCTCATGTTCACAACATGGATGGATTCTTTGTAGCCAAGGTATGCTGTATCATTTGTTGATATCATGTGCTGTCAAGTTGAGAGAGCTGTAATTGAGGATTCAAAGTCCTATCTTTACTGTCCATTTATGTCTATTCTTAAAATTGATTACAGTAAAGCCCCAAGTGAAGTACAAGAGAACATGCCACATTACTTATTCTGCCTTAGTCGTATCATCCAATTGTCCTCTGATAGTGTTCTTTTTTCTAAATAATTTCCCCCCTTTTTGTTCTGCTTGTTTTGTATAGTTTTGCCCGTAAGCAATAAATCTCTTTGAACACTATACACACTCGGTTCTGTATGTATCTCTTCAGTTTTTAGGGTGCTATACTCGTGCGTAGAACTCAAGCCTCATTCATGTCAAACAGACAGTTCATCTTTTCATTAAGCTTGTGGAAATTGAATAATTATGAATCTTTACTTCTAAAAAAAAGTAGAAATGATTATTGTTTTTGGGATTGAAAAATAAAGTGGGATTGTCACATTTGTTAAAAACAAATGAAAGATTAGAAACAGTTCTTTTTTGGAGTTGCTGCAATTTTGTTTCAGTTGAGAACAATTTACCCTGTTTCAGTTTAGAACATTTTGCCCCATATCTCCTGTTTTTTTTCCTCAGTTGAAAAAGATGAGCAATTCAAAGTCTGCTGCAAAATCGTCGCTTCAATCTGAAGAAACACAAGAAGCTGAAACTATTCAGAGCAGTGACCAGCAGAAGGCTGAAGGGGATGACAAGCATAAGGAGCAGAAGGGGATTGCAAAAGAGAATGGGAATAATGAAGAAGTGGCAGGTGATAAAAAGAGGAAGAGGAATGTCCAAAAGCATTCAGATAAGAAAGGTGTTGGACAAAACAGTGGTGTAACTAAAAATGGGAAGGCAGAAAACCAATTGGTGGCGACAAAAAGGAGGGAAAAGAAGAAACCCCCTCCTAGAGAGGAAATTGCAAAAACTAGGTACAATTTTTAGTTTCACGATCACGATCACGATTTGGTAAATACTGATGTGCTAATAGAACAGAGATTTAATTTCAGATCATATAACCTATTCTTGTCTTAAAACATTTGTACAGGGAAGAGAAGAGGAAAGCTCTTAGGGAAGCAAAGCGAAAAGCAACAATGAAGAACAAAGCTTGAAACAAAAGGAGAGGGAGATCGGTATGACTTCCGCTGCGGCATGGGAGGTTTGTTATATGCGGAGGATATCTTTTTTCAGAGATGATGTAAGCGGACACATAACTAAGATGTTCTCTGAAGTCTTAGAAAGGTGAATGTTGTTAAGCTTACCTTGGGCACTATTAGCAGGTGCCAAGCCAGTTTGGTAATATTTTCACCTTTGCTTGATGACTTTGAGATAAAGACTGTTGGAAATGTGTTGTATGATTTAGAAAAACGAAATTAGGATTCAAGGTTGCACGAATCCAAAAATTTTGTATCCTGCATTTGATGTTACACTTTTTTTTTTTTGGAGTGAGCAATGCAAATTATAAAGGGGAAGTACTTTGTATTCATTCAGTCATCACTTTCAATCATCAGGTAGAGATTCTGTCTATTGTAATCCTTAGATGTATTTTATTTCTCTTGAGTCTTGACAAAGCTGATGATGTGTTTTTTTACTAAGAAGTCACGTGCTTCTTGTTCTTACAATGCCTAGTACTAGGAATGTAATATATCCAGATCAAATGTTTACTTCAATATGTCGAAGGATTAGTAGGCTGTAGTCAAGAAATGATACATTATATACGCTTGCTCATGCCAAGAAATATTTTCGATTAGTTCTAAGAGTACTTTCGCTATCAAAGTTGCATGATTACTTCATAATAAATACCAATTGAATCAAGCTATGATGCTTTGATGAGATCTCATCTCTGTCACCAAAATGAGCTGGGGTAGGAGACGAATTCGATCTCAAGATATTCAGATTTGCAGAATTACTCAAATAGTCAAGTGATCTCTTCCCATCTATCTAAGTTTCGATGGATAAAGTCACCCAATTTTAGTTCTGGTAGGAGATTGGTTCAATGAAACGACCTGGCCGGTCGTTTTATGTACTAGAGCCCCGTTCCCCTATTTGTTGCTTCGCGAATGTTTGTGACTTAGGGAGTGATTGGTTCGGTTTCGTGAAGGTTTGAGAGTGAACTGGAACACTTAGTTCTATCTTTGGAATTTTAAGTTGTAAGAGTCGACCTAGGAATTGATTTTTGAGTAGACGACCTTAGATTGGTGAGTTGATGGTCCCAATAGTTTCGTATGGTGTTTTTAGACTTAGGCGTATGTTCGGATTTGGATTTGGAGGTTCCTAGGAGGTTTTGACTCTATTTGCCGAAAGTTGGTAATTTGAAGAATTGGAGAGTTTGTATATTTGACCGATAGTTGACTTTGGTATTATCGGACTTCAATTGTGGTTTTGAGACCTTGGATAGGTCCCAATGATGGTTATGAACTTGTGTGCTAAGTTTGGTTGCAATCCGGAATGTTTAAATATGCTTCTTACGTGATTGGCAAAGTTGAAAAGTTTGAAAGTTAAGGGATGAATTTTGATCTCCGATTCTTGGTTTTGATATTATTTTGGATATTTGAGCTTTGGGATAAGTTTGGGTAAGGCATCGAGACTTATTGGTGCAAAGTTTGGTTGCGGAATGTTTAAGTATGATTCAGACGAATTTGGCGAAGTTGGAAAGTTTGGAAATTAAGAGATAGATTTTGATCTTCGATTCTTGATTTTGATGTTACTTTGGATGTTTTGAGCTTTGGGATAAGTTTGGATAATGTATTTGTACTTGTTGGTATGATTGGATGGGTACCGGAAGACTTAGTGAGTTTCGAGGTTATTTCGGACCATGTTAGTGTTGCTGGAACTTTTCTAGTTGCTGGTGCATCTCGCACTTGCGGAGGAAGGTGCAGAGGTCGCACCTGCAATGTATGGTTCGCATCAGCGAAGGTCCAAGTTTTTTTTTTAGCTTGGACGCACCTGCAGCTAGTTGTACGCAGGTGCGAGGTCGCGCCTACGAGGTGGATTGCGCGCCTGTGGAGGTTGGTCATGCATGGGGAAGTCATGCCTATGGAGTTTTGTCGCACCTGCGCTTTCATATATGCGTGTGTGATGGTCGCGGAAGAGGAAAGGAGCATGAGGATCAGAGCTTGAAGATGCGAGGCTTTGGCTGCAAAGTGAGCTCGCAGATGCGCGGTTTTGGAGCGCATATGCAGGAGGCCTGGCAGCTTGATATATTTTGACATTTTTGCTTTTTTCATTATTTTGAGTTTTAGAGCACGAGAAGAGGCAATTTTGGAAGGGATTTTTTTTACTATTATTTTAAGGGTTGATTTCTTCCTGGATATGATTATATATATTGATTCTCCATGGATTTTAACCCCTAAACCAAGGATTTAAAGTATAGAAAGTGGAGTTTGGGGTATGAACTTAAGATAGTGTATTTTAAAGATTTGAGGGTTGTTTTGGACCCGGATTTTAAATCTAATTATATATTTGGACTTGTGGGTTTATGGATAGTGAGGATCTACCCCTAGACTCGGATTTTGACCATATGGACCAGAGTTGACTTTTGTTGACTTTTTGAGATTTGATCAAAGATTGGAGATTTAGTGTTTGGATTTGATTTCTATATTATTATTTGACTTTATTAAGTAACTAGTATCAGTACTCGCGCGATGCGCGGACAAGTCATTTCAAATTGCGATGTAGGTTGTTTGAATCATGTAAAAATAACCTTAAAATATAAACCTCTCAGATAAAAATTATATAACATGAGAATTTAATTATGAAACATGATATGAAATTATTGTTCAAATCTCGTAGTGAACAACCAATCTTTTTAATATATATTTGTAGCAATCTAACCCCTTGATTTTGGTACTTGTATTTCGTTGTCGATATTAAAGAATACTAAACATGTCATATTGTGATCTATCTTGTTCGAGCACATTAGATCATATTATCTTAACAAAATTCTTATTATCACTTTATTTTTACCTGGAAGTCAAATATATCTTATTCATCACATCACTTTTACATAAATTCTTTTTTTTTGTTCTTTTCTTACAACTTGTTTGGATGGTTGTTACGCATCGTTCCATAATGTTTCGTATCGTACTGTATTGTATTGTATTGTATTGTATCGTTTGATAAATACATGTTTGGATAGATTGTGTCGTTTGCCATCGTTTCATGATATCATGCACCAACAATATGAAGAATAAACTTGCAATATTATAAAGAAAAATTATGATACAAGGTAAGATTACTATATAAAAAGTAGGGTAAATGATAAAATAAAATAATTTAATAATAATAAAGGGTGAGATTGAGAAAAAAAGACAAGGTAACGACGCGACCACACCAAATCGGTCGTTACATAAAGTGACACATTTCGTCGTTATATAACGATGAATTTAACGATACGATACAATAAAATTTAAGTAACAATCAAAACAAACATTGTATTTAAGGTAACAATATGATACGATACAATGGGTAACAACCATCCAAACAAGTTGTTATAGTTATTGTATTATTTAATATTTAATCATAATATTTTAATTATTTAAATTTATCAGTAATATTTTTAAATATAATTTAATTATTTTATTTTATTTATTTTTAAATTAATTTAAAGTATAAGTATCCTCGCACTACCTCTATTTTTTATGTACATTCTCTTCCCTATTACAAATGTTAATTAGTTTTTATATTAATGTTTTACCTAGAGCCAAAATAATGTCATATTTTGTTTTAAATTGTAACTTTTAATTAGTCTAAAATATTAATACATAAGTTATTTGATTATGATGTTCCAAATGTATTGAGTTCTCTTATAATTAATTTTGTATTAGATGCAGCTAAATTTTCTTTCCTTTTTAGCTATAAGATACAATTTACTTTTTAATTTTCATTAGTAAGATTACCAATATTAGAAATTTATTTTGTATTTTTAAAATATTATTTAATCATAGAAAAATATTTCTTAATTGTTTGAACACATTATTTCTAAATATTGTAGTAATATTTTTACTGTCATTTTAGTCCTTTACGTAATATTTTAAAAAACAAAAAATAATCTCATCTCAAATTCAAATAATTCTTATCATTCTATTTTCTAAAATGGACCGCATTTTTAAAAAATTATGCTATGCATTCAAACTCAAACTAACTGCACTCGATTCAGATATTAATCATAGAAAAATATTTTCTTAATTGTTTGAACATATTATATCAAAATGTTGTAATAATATTTTCACTGTCATTTTATTTCTTTACATAAATTTTCTTTCTTTTTTAGTTTTAAGATACAAATTTAATTTTTGTAAAATTACCTATATTAGAAATTTATTTTGTAATTTAAAAAATTTATTTTTTATTATTATTTATTTATCACAAGTAAGACTTCAATTTCGTAGTATTATCCATAATTTGAGCATTCACATCATAGTTTTAAGAACTTTCTAATCTCAAATTCAAATAGTCTTTTCTTTTAATTTTTAATAGTAAATTTCTAATAATTTAACATAATTTTGCTATTTTTTTTAATCTAATATATAGTCTTATTACATTTTATGTGGCTTTTCGTTAACTTGTAAATTTATTTAATATCATTATCAACTACTTTTATTTAATAATATAAGATAAATATATAATTTTTTTAATTATGAAATAAATATTTATTTTGTTTTAAAAGCTTTGCTCGAAAATTTTAAATTATTTAAAATTTATTAATTATTTTTAAGTATTTTATATTTATTTTATTTTATTTTCTAAACTTATGATTTATAAGTGTCCTTACATTATCTCTAATTTATTTTTATTGTTCAGTTTTTTTAGTTTTTGATTTTAACTATTAGACTTGAGTTATGTGGACTTATATTATGACTTTTCTTAGTATAATATAAAAAACTTTCTCATCTCAAATTTAAATAAGTTTTGCCCTTTTACCTATGATAAAAAATCTGAATTTTTATTTTTTCTCTATTTATTCTTTATTTTTAATTTTATATTATTCAATACCTAATATTATTACATTGTCATGTGAATTTTTATTAGCTTGTTTGAATTTAGTATCTATTTTTACCACACTCATTCTAATATAATATAGATAAAAATTTAAAAACTTTCTCATCTCAAATTCAAATAATTTTTATCATTCTATTGTCTTAATTGGACTATATTTTCAAAAAATTATGTTATGCTTTCAAATTTAAATTAACTGAACTTAATTCAAATATAATCATAGAAAAATATTTTCTCTTTCACATTATATCTAAATATTTTAGTAATATTTACGTATAAAATATTAGTTTGCACGATTTATCAGTATTAATATGAATTTATTATTCTTGTTATTAAAATATATTTTGTTAATTATTTAATTTTTCTCTTACCTTATAAATAATTTGTATACTTTATGTAAGATCTTATTTTGCTGCTTGAAATTATTTAATTTTTAAACTCAATAAATCCTTAATATCTTAAGTAAATTTTAGTTTTATTTTATATTTTAACTTACTCCAAAGAATAAATAGTTATAGGCTATCTCAATTTACGTCTTTATATATTTTTATTTTTTC